ACCTTGTTCAAAGTGGCAAGAAAAAATACGTTTTTGTTTAAATGAAATTTACTTGCCTGGATAACTTGTGTGTTTTGAAACCTAAGTGCTACATTTGTTAATGGATGATACAAGTCTCGCTTTCTAAATGGTTCAGATATCAGAATAGTTGAGGATCCTAAACAAGTATATCTGAATTGAACGATTACTGATAGCTATTGGTTTGTACAGTTCTTCCACTTTGTTTAGTTGTTTCTCAACAGAGGAAATTGAGATGGAAATATGGACATATTCCAAAATAGCTGGTATAATTAGAAAACTAACCTTTGCTCTGAGTAGTGCTCTACCTTGTATATGCAACTGTATTGATTAGCTACTATTGCTAAGTGAATAAATAACGTTGCTGTAGTCCTTGGGTCTTATTTTAGGTCAAAGAAGAGTAAGACACACAAAAAACCCCAACCCTTAGCCATCTAGAACCCATGCCATCAATGAATGAATGTAGAATAAAATTAGTATTTTTGGAGAAAGCAAGAAGTCAACAGTTCTTGACTATAAAATATATATATATATATCTTTTGTATTTTGTGTTGCTGGTTTTTTGGTGGTGGTTTTTTTTCCCCTTAAGGTATTTGCAGGAAGAACATATGGCCTAATTTTTTTTTTTGTTTTTGTACTTTGGTACACAGCTAAATGTACACTGAAGGTCAAGAACTTGTTTCTCTTTATTTACAATAACTTCTCAAGATTTTGAGTTGAAAAAAATTAAATTCAGCCATAAGACCTTTCAAAAAGGGAGCTTCTTACTACAGTGAGTGCAAGTTCCCTTCTAAGAGCCAAGTGTTCATAATCTAAGATATCCTGGGATCGTAGCTTAGGACCCCTGAGTTTTTTCTTTCTTATGTATTTATCAGAATATCTTTCCCAAAAGTAGAATTCTTACAGACTTTTCTAAACAATGTTTTAAAAAAGATATATAGTAGTTTTTCATTTTCTAAATGCTTTTTCTTCGCTAGACCTTTTTTCTTTCCAAACCTAGTTTTTGCCTGGTTTACAATGTTGAAATGTGTATGTAGGATATGTTCTATCCAGCTTTTTGGTTTGTATCCTTCTATTGATAATAATTGCAGTATGACTTGAAATGACGCTTTGTAAGAAATGATGCAAGAAGGCCTTCTATGTGTGAATGTTTGGAGGACAAGTCAGCTGTTCATCATAGTAAATGGTGTTTATGTTCCTAAAGTGGAAGTAAGAGCATGAGGCGTAATCATATGTTTCATGTTTGTTTATTGCTTTTGGACATCCCAGAAAGAGGGTGTTTTAAATTGCAAAATATTCAGCTGAAAAAATTCCATTTCAAAGCCAAAACTATACAGCCAAATTTAACAGTCCTTTAGCTGAAACCTTACTAAAACACGATCATTCCCTGCTATTATTGATTAAAAAGAAAAAACAAAATAGCTTGTAAAGCTTTGTTCTGTAACTTGGTATTAAGTTTTATTTAGATAAAAGAGTAGAATATGGCTTAGATGCATACAGACATTTTGTGTAGTTCTTAATGAAAAACTAATGATTTGTAAGTATAAAACTACCTTTTTTTTAATTGGTTGTTCTAAAAGAGCATTAAAATAGACATTTAAGTAGCTGGTATTGACATATCTAGAAGTTTGTAATAGGAGCTGTTTTTTTAATTAGCTTTGCTACTGCATTCTTTCTTATGCTAATTTGATTTTGATATTGGCATTTGTCTTTCAAGGAAACCTAATACCTTCCAGTTGAATGAAAATCTATGCAGTGTTATTTCAGTGTATTCTGAATGAAATGGAGGTCTAAGTTCATCTTCATACTGTATTAGTCAGGCTTCATTCAAATACTGTGCAAATTTTTGTGCTTTTTATTTTACCAGCCCATTGGATGGTAGGACTCTTCACTTTAAGGCCTGATTTAAAGTTTATTATATGAAGGTTAATGGTTTTCTCTACATTTATATAATGGAAATGCTTGTAAAACTGCATATAATTCCAGGAGAGAGGATGAAGTTAGCATGTAGAGTCCTTCAATATCAAGATATGTGTTTGAGGCTAACAGTTGTATGTAAGTTAGTGTCCACTGAGCATGCTTTACAAGAGCTTTCATAACTAAGAGAATAAAAATTAAAATTAAGCAGGGATAGATAAAGAGCTTTAATGACATTTGAGTTGAGTGATATCATCAAAATAGCAGCTAAGGCTGAGATATGTATAGTACAAAGAATGAATACCTTCATCTACTTAAGATTGGATTAGATCCCAAATTTATGGAGTTTTATCAGATCTACCAGATAATGTAATTTCATGGTACACCACTTATTACAGTTTATGCTACTACCTTAATAAGCATTTAATAGATGTACAACAGCTAGTACCTATGTAATAGTTATTCTTGGCTTGTTCATATTTCTTCTACATTCAGTTTTACAGGTACCAGTACAGTGGGAAAGAGAAGCATGAGTCCTATTCAGGAAGAAACTGGTTCTGATGATATGGAAGAGGGAGAAGGGCAAGATCCAGGATATGATCAGACTGACTCTTGTGCAGAGTCCCTTCCAGATGGTAAGAAGAGAGCCAAAAAGTTCAAAAAGATGAAGACAGAACAAGTTCCAGCAGGTCAGTGCAATGTTTGTGCATATGTTTTTCTGTTCTGTTTGGAACTACCGTAGGCCTGAACAGAACTGAAGTTGTTTTCTTGAATGTCTTTTTTCTGGACTTCTATGTGTGTAATGTAATAAGTCACTGCTATAAGTTATTGCATCATACAAAAATTGTAAAAATAAAACCACCACCACCAAAAAACGAACTAAAAAAACCCAACAAAAAAACCCCCACACAAACAAATAACAATAACAAAACCCCACCTGAGACCAACTAAAGGAAGCAGGTTATAGTTGATATTTTGCTTGCTTGCTTTCTTAAAATAAAGCTCTCTGAATATTTTTAGCTATTCTTAATCACTTTTTTTTTAATGTGACTTTCTAGTTAAGGTTACCCAATATGTTTTGCACATTGTAAGCAAAACTGAAGGAATTGTAGAAGTAGGATTCTAGAGTAGATTTCCCTATTAATCCAATACTTTATCATGAAATGTAAGGTTAACTTAATGTGGACATTTTCCCTTAAGCTTGATTGAATGGAGTCATGGCATAATTGAATGCACATAGCTTGACCTGCCAGATGTGTGTCATTAGACAACCTCTGTTGCTTGCAAATTAGTCCAGTTTTAATAAACCTACCAGCTGCCCTGAAAGCTACTATATATACCCTTTTATTTAGCACTTTAAGACTATATATCCTGATAATATTGCACTAACATCCCTTATTTACAGTTATTTGTGAGATAAGATATTTCTGTAAGTTGAGAAAACAATGGAATTTCTCAGTCTGGTCAGAATGTTCTTTACATCTACAATTAAGCCAAAACTTTGACAGTCTACCTGCTTGCACCTCAGCATTCCTCTGGCATACCTCTTGCCACAGTGCTGTTTTAGGTTGAGTGCAGTTTGACCTAGTCAGACTGCTGTTTTAGATTCCCTGGTATAAATAAGTAGGCTGCACCTCTACTGAAACCCTTTCCTCTCTAGAACATTTCCTGAGAATGTGTTGACTTTGAGACAACTCAATAAAGGAGTAAGCTGCCAGACAGGTGCTGATCTACCAGACTTTTAAACTTAGGCCCTTTAGCTTTCTTGGTGCTTTGCATTTATGAATCAGTTGTGGGGCTTTTTCTGGTAACGCTTGGCAAGATGGTGATGAAAAGCGAGTGTGTTGAAAATCCCTTCCAAACATTTTAGACGGGTGGATCATAGTCACCCATAACAGTTCTTGCAGTGTACCACATGCTCTGAGTAAGCCTTTGCTTACTTGAAAGGCTTACTGGACTGTGAGCAGATCATTCACATTTCATGGACTGCTAGTTGTTGAAGCTTGAGGAATCTCACTTTCAGGAGATGCAGATTTTGAAAAGTAGGAGAAATAGTTGGGTTTTTGTTGTAAAAGTGTCAAATTGTAGATTTGCCCAAGTGATAATTTTTTTTCTTCTGTTACATATTTTATAAGTCTTTTTTTTTAAATCTGATTTAGAACTTGCAATGTAATGCTTGAAAAATCAATACTGGTTTTAATACAAATTATCAACCCAAATAATCTTTTTCTTTCTTCGAAAAACTGTTTTGATGTATGCATTAGTATATGCAATGTTCTGTGTGGTGTTTGTAGCAATAGCCTTTATTGTTCTTTATTTGGTTGAGGACTTTTCACCTAGGGTTGATGTAAGGGGGTTTTTGCAGACTTTAATACCTACATATTTTCTACCCAAAGTACTTTGAACTGTAGGTCTGACTAAACACAGGCAGGTGAAAATCAGATGACTGTGTTTCAACTGATATTTTTGCTATGTTGTGTGAGTTATTGAAGCCTGTACTAAAACAAAAAAAAACAAATAAATAACCTTAAGTGACATGAATTTAAACCTTAAAAGATTTGATTTTTATTACTCTATTGTTGATTCTATTTCAGAAATTTCTTGCAGAAATAGTTTAGACTATATTAAAAAATTAAGTCATATCTTAATTATTGGTCACCTGGAGCACTGCCTGTATTGAAGTATATTCAAATATTAATAGTCAAAACTTTCTTTTAATATCTGCTCTAGCCACTTTTATCCAGAAAGTTGCACTGTATGCCAAGCATCCTTTCTCCTGATTTGGTAGAGTAAAATCTTTTTGAGCTGATTCATAAGCTGTGCTTGGAAAATTCCTTTTTGTTGTAGTTCAATAGGGCAATTGGGCCACACAAGCATATGCAAAATGACGAGACTGTCTACTGTAATTCCAAGTGTAAAATTCATGCTCTGTTTTTGGCATTATGGAAATACATGTTCTCAGTATGATTCATCTTTCTTCTCCAATTAATTTGGGCTGGAAATATTCTTCAGTGTCATAACTGCCTTAAACAAGAATAACTGCAAGTACACTTGGTAAAATAGTATTATTTAACTTTATCATCCCAGTTATTGCAAAACCAAAATTACTTGGATTAAAAATATTCATTAATTGAAAAATATATTTATCATTTGGGAAAGAAACTTGACATTAACTTTTTTTTTAAGTGCCTACTCATAACAGTCTCTTGGTTTCCCTTTCTAAATATTGACTTGCCAGTAACGTATCTAGAGCCTCACTCTAGAGGAGAAAATATGTCTTTGTATGCTCTAAAAGAATAAAAAGATTCTTGATTTAACTTTTAGTCCTTTCAGTGTTTTATATTGAAGTCTTTAATATATTGTTCTATGATGCTGTCTTTTAGGAAGCCTCACAACTAGTTCCACTGGAATTTTTGAAGTCCCTGAAACATGGTAGGAAACAACTGCCTTAACAAGTGGAATTGATTGAAAGCAGTTGCGAGAATACACCTCTTGGAAGCCATACTTTATTTAAATAAAGTGGTGTTAACAAAGCAGTATGTGTCCTGAAAATCAGTTTAATTATTTTAAACTGTTTATTGAACAATCACTGTCAATTTTACTTGTGTGTATATTAACTAGTATATGATTCATTGTTGATCATGTGAAATCCTTGCTGTCGTAAATGTTGTTAGATGTAAGAAGCAAGACTAAATGTATTTTGGTCACCTACTTTGGCATGCCTGCAATGAAATGTACAAAAAGAACTGGCACTCTGTGATTCCATGCTAGGCTGTTTCCTGTGCTTGAGGGGAGTTACCACAAATCCCCCAATCTTCAGCTATTTTTTCAGGCAATATCAGTATGCTGTCAGCATTCTTGAAACAGGTAGAACGGCAGTTTCGTATATTGCTTTCTACCAGTTACTTTATCCAGAAATCTTTTTTTAGTTTTCTCTTCTCTACCCCCCTATCCCCTGTGCAGCTAGTATTCATCTAAATATCAACTTTACACATACCTTGTCCTTTAAAAAACTGTGACTTAAAAGTTTCTCAAACATTAATTTCCTGTTAGGAGGTAGGTTTTTTTTGTTTTCACATCAATTGCTGTTTTCACTCTTCACTCTTAAGTCTTGATCTGTTTCTTCCCTCCTTCTTCCCCAGCTTGTGGGGTTTTTGTAAAAATGTTTTTTGGTACCTGTGACAAACCTGCTAACTGTACCAGCCTTTATTTGTTTAAAAAAGGATCTGCATTGGTAGATTTCAGCAAATGTTTGATATTTAACATTTTTGTATCATGGAAATAAAACCAAAAGATGTATTTCCATAAAATGAAAATTAAAGACATTTTCTTAGGAACTGGTTTGTTTTTATTTATTAGCTTCTGAATAATGAAACGTTTTTAGTGAACTCTTTTTTTTTTTTTCCATAATAAAACAATTTTTTTGTCAGCCTGTGATTAGCAGACCCTTTTGGTCCATGGACTACTGTTAAGATATTTATGAAATGTAACCAAGAAAAGCAAGCCTATTGTCATAAGATTTAAATCGCTCTGTGTTTCCCTTGGAGCAGGGAAAAAACAAAAAAAGAGTTTTCTGCAAATCAGTGAGTTTAAAACCATTGCTGTGGAAGAGTGGACTCTTATGAAGGCTTCATCAGATTGCATTTACATTAGAGTGGGAACCACTGTCATTTAAACAGTGCAATAACCTGTTGGAAGGTATGCCAAAATTTGTGGGGTTTTAAATGATTGTGAGAGCTATCTTGAACTTGCATTGCAAAGGGGAACATAATTTAAAGACATTAAATGTGAAACATTTTATTTATAAACTTGGAATACTGCCAGAATTGGTGTAATTAAGTTGTTGGGTTTTTTAATAGCAGCCATATCATCACATTCTTACATTAAAATGTGGGAAAGAAGACAGTGTTATTAGTGATACAAGGGGAAATTAGTAACTGAACTCTTCTGCTCTCAAGGATCCAGAGACTTTTCTTCTCTGAGACTCATGACCTTAGGACTAAATACTTCAGTCACTTTTATCTTGAGTATCCAAACCTACAAAGAAACTGCAAATTTAGTTCTGAGAATATATGCAACAATTAAAGAGAAATTGTATAAAGTATTAATCTCTTATGGAAATGATTCAGGTAACTTATATGGTGTTCTAGCCAAATGCTGGGGGGGTGTGGTGATATTAACTTATATATCCTAAAGAACTGGCATAACATGATTTGGGAGGGAGCTTAGAGTCACGATGTCAAAAGATGCAAAAGCATATAAAGGGATTCTCAGAAGTACAGGTTGAGGCAAGGAAGTCTCTGCTCAAGAGCTATAGAGCCATGTACTGTTGCAAAGAATATACCTGGAGTCTTTACTTGGAGGCCATTAGGATGTTTATGGTACTGACTTCACTCTTGAACAGCAACACTTTACATACCTGCAGTGAAAATGTAAGTCTTAATTGCATTGCAATACAATCCCTTAAAAACTTGTTTCTTTGGAGTAGGCCATGTATATCCTTCTCTAAACTACAAAGGTTAATAGATACTCCTGCTATTTCTACCCTCGTCCCCTCCCAAATTGTCATTTTTGAGGAGCAGAATGTTATGTATCTTGACCTGTAATACCTCTTAAGAAAATAGCATTCTTCCATTTTCTAGTCCTTATATGTGTTTGATTTTACTTGTTAACACATAGGTAAGTTAATAAAATGGGACTGGATGTGGGGCTGTAGTATTTCTAATGCTGAGTTTGGGTAGAGAAGTGTTAGGGGTCAGAGAGAGGTGGTGCCCTAAGAAGGAACTGGCCCCACTGATACCACATCAAACCTCGTTATTGTGTGGGGTTTGGTATACTTCCCTTTAAGTGAAATCATTAATTCTAGAAGGGAAAGAACATAGCTTCTTAAATTAGCTCCACATTTGTTTCCTAATGTATGTTTAGAATATTGCAGAGAATTTAGATCTTTACTGCATTTGTTTCTGAAGAACAAAGCTGTCATCACTAGTCTTTGTGGCTGCAGAGATTCCTGGGTCTTGATCTCCAGGGGTTTTCTGTACCATTACTTGACACCAGAAGTATGGCGAGGCATTGGTCTTGCTCCTTCATTGTGGAGCTGGGATAGCTGGTAAGTTGCTGAGAGGCCATGTTTTGTAAAAAGTCAGATCCATCTGTGTAATACTTTGATTTAATTAATTTTTGAATTTACCTTTTTTTTTTTTTTCCCCCCTTCATTCCCTTTTTCTGCCAGGGGCGGGGGGAGGTGACTCACGTATCTGTTCAATTTTAGAGCTATTGTTTTGCTTTCTATTTGGAGGAGCAGCGATAGCTACACCTAGTTCAGTGTCCTGCACATTTGCACCTGTTCAGGCCCAAGCCAGCTCTGGGCAGGAGGACCTTCTTCTGTCCCTTTTGATCGTTTTGTTGGCGGATGGGAGGCGGCGCGGCGCGGCCTCCCCTCTCCCCTCAGGACCGGGTGGGAGGTGGTGACGCAGCTCCCCTCCCCGCCGCGGGG